CCTGGGGTAGGGAAAATATACTTTACTCTACATTATTAGGAACGCTCTTGTACCTGGGGTAGAGAAAATATACTTTACTCTATATTAATAGGAACACTCTTGTACCTGGGGTAGGGAAAATATATTTTACTCTACATTATTAGGAACGCTCTTTTGCCAGGAGTAGGGAATCTATATCTATCTGTAGACTTCTCTCTGCTCTATCTTTGTATATCATTAGGAACGCTCTTGTTCCTGGGGTAGGGAAAATATACTTTACTCTACATTATTAGGAACGCTCTTGTACCGGGGGTAGGGAACCTATATCTATCTGCTGACTACTCTCAGTTGGAACTGAGAATACTGGCACATCTCTCACAGGAAAAACCAAGAAAATATTCTTTTCATACATAACTCCACAACTTGAGATAAAATTGCTAGAAACGCAGGGGTTAGAACGATGGATTAGAGAGATGGCGAGTGGGTTAGAATAATGGATTAGATGGGGGAGGTAGATTTGTAGTTTAAAAGGAGGGGGCTAGAAAAGGGGTCTAGAGAGGGGAGGGAGAATGAGGGTTAAAGAGGGTAAGGGATAGAATAGAGGCGGGTTAGAACAAGGATTTAGAGAGAGAGAGGTGGTAGAAGAAAAGCTTAGATGGGGGGTGGGGGTGTACAATCAGGGTTCAGAGAGGGCCGGGTCAGGATTGGAATTAGAGTTTAGAGATTGAGAAGGGATGATTAGAATGAGTGTTTAGGGGTGGAATAAGGGTTCAGAAAGGAAACTTTATTGAGTATCGGCTTTATATTTGGTTGAACGAATGGTTATTTGCTGGTTTTATCAGGATTCGACTTTAATATCTATTCTGGTGGAAGGAGGGGATGTTTTCAGGAGTCTAGCAGCTAGGTAAGTTATACAGAGCGTCCCATATCATATTAGATTATTTCCAAGCTTTTGCGCCAAAATGCGCACATAATACATAATATTTTCTGTAATCAAATTTTTATTCTAGCCTTATACATTTTATTTAATTGACTATTTTTTTCTAATTAGTGTGTTAAATATCAGTCTAGAGCTTTAAACGATCGAATATGTTGTGGGACAACCAGAAGCACATCATCACATGTACATCTGATCGAATTTAAATAATAAGCCGAAGCTTAAATTTAAATTATCGTTGGTTTATTTTAAAAATTGTATTCATTGATTCGAGATTTAAGCCGGCGCTCAATTGAATAAAATCAGTTTTTGGCAGATTTGAGACGCGGCTTAAATTCATTAAATTCGGACTCAGTCCTTAGAAATATTATATGTTTTTTTCGGGCGGGACTTATTAAGATAAAGTTTTACAGATATTTCTTGTTGGAAGATGACTGTACAAAGTGATTTTTAAAATTCGATTTTTTTTCATTTGTGCTTAATTGGATGTAAAATTCGCAATATTGAATAAAAAAATCTCCCAATTTCTGACTTACTGTCTGACATTTGATAATTACCGAAGCAACATATATGATAAGATATATAAGAAGATCTTTTAGAGTACGATTCCAGCTTTTGAAATATTAAGCTCGTTCTCCATGTAACGTAAAAAAGTCAAATTTCGGGTTCAAAGTTTTGAAGTTTCTTAAGTGCTTACTTAAGCAGAAAAAGATTAACAATTCTGGAGATAGTTAATTTCTTTATCAAATGTCATTTAATAACGAGTTATTAAATATTAAATATATTTTTTTGTTGTATCTTGTTTTGCTTTGGGGAAAAATTTTTAAAAATCGACTTTTAAGAATCACCCTGTACAGTGAGGGAGAGGGGGTATTAAAACATATGTTTTAAAAGAATTTTAAAATATATTACTTTTCATTAAATATAAAGTTCGAATAGTAGTTTTTCAAATGGAATCAAAGTAAATATTGTTTTGTTTAGAACAAATAAAATTGATGTTAGCGCAGTAACAGATGAGCAACGACAGCAAGCTAAACAAATAGTTTATGGTTTAGGTGTACACCGGAACATTTATTTTAAAAAAAATAATAATTATTAAATGCAAACTCTCTCAAAGGAACTGTAGACGTAATATTTTTTCGTTTATGCATGCACAATTCACAAGGATGCCCTGCCTTATCATATAAAGAATGCAGTAGATATCCATCTTATTTTCTTTAAAAATAGATTATTTCAAAATTTGGTTTCTCTTGTATCTTCCACATAATTGTTCAGAAAGGTAAGAGCTGTGAATCAGGCAGGGAAACTTGGAGGTCATTTTTTATTAATACCTATCACGCTGAAAAGATTGTAAAGGGATAAACAAAAAATATAATAGAAGAATAAAAGGGGGGAGGGGAGGGAACAGAAAAATTTTCTCTAAATTTGAGTTTAGAAACTTTTTCCTAAATGTTTCACCTTTCAAGTGTATGGCGTTGGCCCCAAGTCTTTGGCGGAGCAACTAAAAGTTTCTGAGGCGGAAGCGGAAACTTTTATGGAGGATTTTAAGTCTAAGGAAAATAAAATCATCAAATAAACGCATTAACAAATATAAAGCTTAATTTTCAAAATATCTTTTTTATAATTGTCGCTTTTTGATTTTTACAACATTGTATTTTTTTGTTCTTAAATGACTATATCTGCACAATATGTTTAATAGTTTAAAAGATTTCAATGATTTTGTTTTGTGTAGTACCCAGGATTACGCATTTTTCTAAACAAATGCGTTGCAACGGCCCGACGCACCGGGTACGTTGAAACGATATCCTGCCGAAGACGACAAATACCGGATATTGGATCAACGAACATACACAGGTACAGCACCATCTGAAGGAAATGTAACAAAGTAAAGGCATAAAATCACAAAGAATCTGCCCAAAAAAAATCTATAAAAATTGGATCAGTTTTAATTAGCTCGGGACATTTTGATTGGTACGAAGAATGTCGACACTATATTTAAAATGGACCTGCCCCTGGTGAAGGGTTTGATCAAAACTCTAGAAAATCATAAAAGTAAGAAAAAAGTTTCGAAAAAAGCATTGTCCACAATCACCGTTTCCAATTTCCAACAAGACTCAAATTTGTTGTCCTTAAGAAAGTGGCAACGTAGATCGCAGCATTATGTTTTCAACAATAAAGATACATAGATAAAATATCAGATATCATATACATTTTACAAGTTTAGATCCAAAAGACAGATTCATTTTGCACAGCACATTCCTTAAAATCATACTATACTACCCTATGCATATGTTACAAAATGGTAGTTAAAACGGAAAATTTTACTTAATTTATTATTAAAAATTGTGGTTTCCCTATAAAGTGACTCGGGGATTTATACAGCAGAGACAATAAGAAAATTGATACAATTCCACTATTTTCATCAAGATTGTAAAATGACGAAATTTCAGACAAAGATTTCTAGGGTATACTGGTAAATTGATGAATACAATCTCTTTAAATACAATATTTTTATATTAGTGTGATATTTTTGTTGTTTTCTTCTGTGGAATCCATTTATCTGTGGAATAGTGCGACGACATTTAAGCGATATGTTCAGCAAATGGTTTTACCAGTTGCTTAACAAATATCCGACAAAGTGAAAGGAGCCGGTTTACAATGCACAAATGCCGAGTTTCGTGATATTATATTAAGACTTTTACTTTAGTCGAACAGTCGTCTTCCTATTCCACAGTTTTATGGGTCACACTATGCCAAGGTTTTTCATCAAGGTTTCTGGATGCGCTCCATTGCCATAAAGACGACATTTAACGAGTGCATCCAAAGTATTTAACCTATATAAACAACCTTACACTGTACAGGCGGAGCGCCGCAGAGAGACAAGCTGTAAACACTAAAGTTCAAGGATCTGCCGCAGATCTAGTTAAAACCTCGATGGTGAGGATAGAGGAGAGGTTGGAGGTCATGTACCCGCAGAGGACACCCTTTAAATATACTAGGTAGTGATTATGTAAATTAGAGGCCATGTACCCATATATATTTAATATATGAATTAATAGTTCTAAAATATTTGATATATTATATATTTGATATAATATTATTTAATACATATATAATATATTTCTAGTAGAAGTTCTCGAAGTAAAATCTATGGATCTGGTTCCTGGTTAGTTCTACAGCTTCATGATGAACTTATATACGAGGTCAGAGCTTCTCTTAAAAAATTAATTTACCGTTACGTTTTCTTTTTAATTAAAAAATCACAGCTTTAGTGTTCAGCAGCATTCGCCCGGTTTTTTTTCATTTCTTGGCTTAAATATTTTATCATTTCTTCATTATCTTATTGTTTACAAATATAAATTCGATGAAATAGCGAAATCACTAGGAAGACTTTATTTATTTAGGTTGAGAGTAAAGATGTTCTTGAGGTTGGAAGATTAGTCCGGGAGTGCATGGAGTCAGCTCTCCCTCTCTCCGTCCCTACTCCAGTTCGTCTCAAGGTCGGAGAAACCTGGGGAAACCTTCAGACCTTCACTCTTCCTGATTGATTAAACCTTTAGATCTTTACTTTTCCTGATTTATTAAACCTAGTGAACCCTTCAGCTCTTCACTCTTCCTGATTGATTAAACCTTTAGATCTTTACTTTTCCTAATTGATTAAACCTTTAGATCTTTACTTTTCCTGATTTATTAAACCTGGAGAACCCTTCAGCTCTTCACTCTTCCTGATTTATTAAACCTGTGGAAATATTCAGACCTTTATTCTTCCTGATTGATTAAACCTGGAGAAACCTTCAGTTCTATACTCTTCCTAATTGATTAAACCTGAAGAACCCTTCAGTTCTTGACTCTTCCTTATTGATTAAACCTGAAGAAACCTTCAGACCTTCACTCTTCCTGATTGATTAAACCTGAAGAACCCTTCAGTTCTTGACTCTTCCTTATTGATTAAACCTGAAGAAACCTTCAGACCTTCACTCTTCCTGATTAATCAAGCCTTCAACCTTTCTGATTCATCATTCATTGATTGATCAAACTTTCTTGAAATGTCAGTGATTAAACAATAATATATATATAACCATTTAAAAGTTTTCATTCATTTTCCCTAAATGTCTTGTATTTTTTCCAATGCAGCAAATAAAACAAAATTAAGCTCCGGAGACAGCCTGGCAACAATCTGAATCACAACAATATTGATTACGTGGACAGCCTGGCAACAATCTGAACCACAACAATATTGATTACGTGGACAGATTGGCAACAATCTGAACCACAACAATATTGATTACGTGGACAGATTGGCAACAATCAAAAACACAGCAACATTGACTACAGGGATAGTTTAGCAACAATCAGAAACACAACAACATTAACTATGCGGACAGCTTGGCAACAATCGAAAACACAACAACATTGATTACACGGACAGCTTGGCAACAATTAAAAGCACAACTATGCCCAATTCCTATCCTTGTATCCCTGTGTAACCTTGTATTGCTGTATCACTGTGTATCATTGTAACCATGTATCCCTCTGTATTCTTGTACCCTTGTAACCCTGTATACCTGTATCCTTAGCTTTCTATATCTCTGAATTCCTATATCCCTCTGTATATAGGTATTCCTGTATTCCTCTCAATCTCTCTATTTCTGTATCCCTTTGTATCCTTGTATACATTGTATCTCTGTATTCTTGTATCACTCTGTAGCATTGTATCCCAGTATCTCTGTATTTCTGTTTCCTCCTGTATCCCCAATCCCTATATCATTCTATATTCCTGTATCCCGATGTCACCAAATACCTGTTTCCCTCACTATAGTTTCAGTAGAAGTAAATATTTCCATTTAGTTTATAGCGCCGATATAAGGATTTATCTCTAATTGGATAATGAGATAGATAGAAAGATAGATCGAAAGATAGATGTTACCGTTATGCAATTTCTATTGGTTTAGAATAGACAATAAACACACGACTAAACCCTGATTGGATCAGGCGCTAATGGACTCGGCATACAAGAGTGCCCTGTATCTCTGTATCCCTGCATCACTCTGTATCTCTTTATCCCTGTGTAAATCTGTATCTTGTACACAGTATCTATCTGTATCTCTGTATCTCTGTATCCATGTATCTCTGTATATTTGTTTCCTCTCTACCTCTACAGGTCTTTACGACACATAAACTGTATATTGTATAGTCCCTGTATCCTAAACTATCTATCTATCGTATAGTCCCTGTATCCTATACTATATTTATATGTTATTTTATATCTATCTATCTATCTATCTATCTATCTATCGTATTCTTATAGTTTATCCATCAATCAATTGTATTATCCCTGTATCACAGTATTTACTCACTGATATATTATACACTATCTATCTCACATAGATTCAGGGTCGGCTTTGAAGTGTTGCAACGCTTTGGGCTTAGATTTTACCTCTAACTCACTTATGCTTTTCTGTAGCCCTTTGCATGTACATTTTAGCACTATAAAGCACTCGTTGTTAGCTTTGGTATCAGAGAAGTAATTGGCAAAATTCTCATCGATGTTTGCTTGAGAGTGTGATACCTTTTAATCAGAGTGATCTTTATTCTTATTAAATCCCTATATATCTATCTATCTATCTATCTATCTATCTTTCTATCTATCTATCTATCTATTCGTATCTGGCAAGATGAGTTGGAGGCTGTAACCAGTATTCCAACTTTAGTTCTATTTATACTTGGTACAAGAACTGTGTACAAGAATTTTCACAGATATGTGTAAACTTTGTTTATTTACATTTTGTACAGGGGGAATCTAAACATAAACATAAAAACTTGAATATATGTCCACACTAATTCCGGAAAGGTTGGCCAAGCTCAGATATTCAAATGTATCCTAATGTTCTATAATAAAATGATAGAATTTGGAATTTTTCTTTTTATTCTTGCAATCATTTAATTTAACATCAATTTTAATGCCTAGTATCAAAGTCCTCAGAAAAGACATTTAATAAAGGATTAATCATGTGGTAGAAAAATTCATTTGTTATTCTCACTTAACTTCTGTTAATTTCTTCATTGCCTCTGAAGAAAGAAATGCGCAAGTCTGTTTTGTTATTGTAGCTAGAAATCGCAAGTGAAAATAATCAGTTTTTAATATGAAAACATTGATATTTATCTTATACCTGATCAGTTAAAGCTTTGAAGGGTACCATATGTGGTCATCTGACAAGTCACTAGGTCTAAAAAAGGACGGGTTTTTAATATTACGTAAACCTGGTGATATTTGCAGGTCATTAAAATCTTATTCTATGTGGGTGACCCTGCACCTACAGGGTGTCCCACGAAACATGACAGTTGGTAAATAGTTATAAATGCCTTCTTTCATAACTTGTTAAGTTGTTTGATACCAAAGAGAATAATAAAAAATATTATATGGCATATATATAATAGTACATTTGTTCTCAAAGTAAAATATATTTGAGTAAAAGAATTTTTAACGAAATAAACTGCGAAAAGTCTTTAATATATAATACAGTATTAGTACATGGAAAAAGACATTCATATAACTATTCACCAACTGTCATGTTTTATCTGTCTCAGTGTAAACTAAGCATGGGAGAGGGTAAAATTCATGCAACATTATACAAATACGACTGTGTGACCCCGTATATTATACACACAAGTATGCAAGAAGCAAATTTATTTAGTTTTCTTAATATCGTTTACATGAGAGAAGTTATCTTTAAAATTTATGTAAAATCTTAATCTGACGTGAGATTTAATTTGATTTAGCGTGAAAAGAATTAAAGATTATTATTATTTGTAAATAACCCTGTACCATCGAGGTATTCCCTGTATACATTGAATCTATCAATTTATTATATCCAAAGAGGGAAAACCCAAGGTACTAATGCATGGATAATTATTTCAGAGGTTTACGCACTTTTTGTACTGTAGTGTACTGTCTTTGGGCGGTAAAGTAAACACAAAACGGATGTCACAACTCACGGCCTGACATGGAATCCAGTTTCACAAAATAATCTATGAAATATTCTGGTCATAGGAAACCATTATGTGAGTTTTCAAAATTAAATGCTTTAATCCTCCTCGGATACTAGACGAACACTGATGCATCTATTCTTGTTTACAAATTCCGCCCAGAGAGAACTGGTTTCAATAAGTACGCAGAATATACACGACCGCAATTAACTTTTCTTGCATTAGTACCTTGGATAGTCCTATTTTCCTTCTAATCTCTATTCTGTGATTATATCAGCTGTCCCAATATTGGGAAACCAGGCTGCAGTTCACATTGAACAATAACTAAATAAACAATACACACTGTATTTCCACTGACCAAAACCGAAAAAAAAACGTATTTTTGATTTAAATAGACAGTTTAACTTCCTTGAGAAATGGTTTATTTATCTATAAGAAAGCTCAGAGTTCTTTTAAAAAGAAGGAACAGTTCAGTTCCAAGGTAGTTTGACAGAATATCGTTAACTGTATTAAAAAATGTATTGTATAATACAACATCTTATCAATCAAGTGATATATTATGTAAAACTCAGATTTTAAAGACAACTCCTAGTAGAACTTCTCATTTGTTTCCGGAACTAACTTCCTTTATCAATGTTTTAAAATATTGAACAAAAGTAACAAGAGTTGTGCACGAAATAATTATCGCGAATATTGATTACAACACAAATGATTCTTTTAAATGAATTGTAAGCTTTAAATTCTTCATATCCAGAGCTTCAAAAAGTGCTGTGGATTTCTAAGAGGAGACGAGAAAGCTGGAAAGAAAAATGTATTGATTTCATAAATTTACACATAAAAATAAATTTATTAAGAACTTTAATGATGTCTATACATTTCATATTTCAACAAAAAATATGATTACTAATCGAGAAGCTCATGACCGAAAAAAATCTCAAAAGTTGTCGCCTAGCACAACATTCAGCTAAAGAAACTGAAAACGTGGTTTAATTTGTAAAGTGGCACCATTAAAATCTTTGTATGAATGAAGGAGATGTTTTTAAAATTGATATTTTTAAATTGAAATTTCTCAATTTAGATGCTAGAAACCCGACGATATCCACATTATTGATCAGATAATAGTTCACTGGGTATAGCGTTGTGAATCGGACATGCCTCTCTTCCAAGACATACAAGTTTAAGAATAAGAAAGAAAAGTTTTCATTTGTAGTAGAAGTAAATATTTCCATTTACTGTTATAGCGCCGATTGAAGGATTCATAACTCTGATTGGATAATGAGATAGATAGATAGATAGAGGTTACAGCCATACTATTTCTATTGGTTCAGAATAGACACTAAACACATGACAGAACCCTGATTGGATCAGGCGCTAATGAACTTAGCTGCATACAGAAGTGACTTGGGTTCTTGATTTTCAAGTTAATCTAATTGCAACCGTATAAACAGTTCAATGAGATTTTCGCTGAATCTATATATAAATTTGGCTTGTCTTGGCTTGTCTNGCATTGTAGCTGTATATAGTTATAATATAGTTATAAAGTGGAATAGTCAATTCACAACAGCTTGGATTGTAGCTGTATATAGTTATAAAGTGGAATAGTCAATTCACAACAGCTTGGATTGTAGCTGTGTATAGTTATAAAGTGGAATAGTCAATTCACAACAGCTTGGATTGTAGCTGTATATAGTTATAAAGTGGAATAGTCCATTCACAACAGCACCTTTTAAATCTTAATCTGAGTAACATTCAGGAAGATGTCGTTGTTAATTCTATGGCTCTGCTGCATAAATCCGCTATCGGATATAATAAATTTTTCGCTGGAAAGACAAGGATTTCTTCATCACTTGTGCTTTAACGAAGATATTTAAGGTACCGTTGTAAATTGGACCTTTGCCGTTCCAACCAGATTTATTCAGGAGCTTTAAATTTTAGATTTCAGATTAATATAAAATGGATTTAAAATCATGCTTTCCATGGATCTTGATTCAAAGCCTTATTTTATCATGCCTTTTCAGAGCAGGTGGGATTTAAAAAGGATTTTAAAGTTGATTTTAAATGGATTTTAAAGTGGATTTTTAAAAAAATTTTAAATGGATTTTAAATGGATTTTAAAATGGATTTTAAAGTTGATTTTAAATGGATTTTAAAGTGGATTTTAAATCGATTTTAAAGTGGATTTAAAATAAATTTTAAAGTGGATTTTAAATGGATTTTAAAGTGGATTTTAAATGGATTTTAAAATGGATTAAAAATGGATTATAAAGTGGATTTTGAATGGATTTTAAAATGGATAAAAAATGGATTTTAAAGTGGATTTGAAATGGATTTGAAATGGAATGGATATGGATTTCTTTTAGTGGATTTAAAATGGATTGTAAATTGGATTAAAATAGATTTTAGAGTGGATTTAAATTGGATTATAAAGTGGATTTTAAATGGATTTTAAAGTGGACTTTTAAATGGATTTTAAAGTGGACTTTTAAATGGATTTGAAAGTGGACTTTTAAATGGATTTGAAAAGGAATTAAAAGGGATTTTAAAGGAATTAAAATGGATTTCAAAATAGGTTTATAATGGATTTTAAAGTGGATTAAAAATGGATTTTAAAGTGGATTTAAAATGGATTTGAAATGGAATGGATATGGATTTTTTTTTAGTGGATTTAAAATGGATTTAAAATGGATTGTAAAGTGGATTAAAAATAGATTTTAGAGTCGATTTAAATTGGGTTTTAAAGTTGATTTAAAATGGATTTTTAAGTGTATTTAAATGGATTTGAAATGGATTTTTTTAGTGGATTAATAATGGATTTTAAAATAGATTTTAAATGGTTTTTAACGTGGATTTAAAATGGATTTTAAAGTAGATTTTAAATGGTTTTTTTAAGGGGATTTAAAGGGAGTGTTTGCGAAAAATGAAAGGGGTGTATAGGTTTACGGCGACAAATAAGCGCTTTTGATCGCTACTAATCTTACTTCAATCTGTTGCGTCAATAAGGAGAAAATTGTTAAAAACGAATTGTACTGAAGAACGTAGCGCCTGTACAAATTCAGAAAATTGCAACATTCAACTGGGATCGTAAAATAATCAATTTAATTCCAAACAAATCATTCAGATATTACAAACAATAGTCATCGATTATTTTTCGACACATTCGTATATAGTTAATATTTCATAATATTTTTGATTTTGTTTTTTAATAATATTTTGCTGGTGCTAGATTTTCGAACATTCCTGTAAAATATGAAAATGTCGTCTTCATTATCAAAAATCCTCGAAAGAGGAATACATGTTTTCAAAAGTAACTCTCAGATCATGAAAAATAAAAATTAATTTGCAATATCAACTATATACGAATGCGTCGAAAAATAATCGATGACTAAAGTGTTTGTAATATCTGAATGATTTGTTTGGAATTACATTGATTTGTTTACGCTCCGAGTTGAATGTTGCATATTTCTGAATTTGTATGGATGCTATATATTCTTCGGTATAAGTAGCAATCCAAAGTTGTTATTTTTCGCCGTAAGCCTACACCCCCTTTCATTTTTCGCGAACACTCCTTTTAAAATGGATTTAAAAGTATATTTAAAATGGATTTAAAAGTATATTTAAAATGGATTTAAAAGTATATTTAAAATGGATTTAAAAGTATATTTAAAATGGATTTAAAAGTATATTTAAAATGGATTTAAAAGTATATTTAAAATGGATTTAAAAATCATGTTATTCATATCAGGCCGTTTTCGAGCAGATAGGATTTACAGCATTGAACGTCCAATCACGCTCTAAATAATGGAATGTCCATTCACAAAATGAAGGAATGTCCATTCACAAAATATTTCTTAAATTCAATTTGACAGAACCCCTTTTGTACAGGGTGTCCCACGAATTTAATTATTTCTGATATTCAGTCATCAACCTATTTTAACATGTATGATTCTTGAAACAATAACCACAAAATTCTCCTACTCCTGGAATCTTCCAAAATGTGGTCTGCATTTTTTTTGATGTGAGATATTAAGAATTTCGTTCAGATTTCAATTTTATCAAATAAAACTAAAATTGTCGAAATCTTAATAAAATTCTTAATATCTCCGGTAATATTAAAACCACAAAAAAAGGCAGACCACATTTTGGGAATTTTGTGATTAAAATTTTTTTAAATTTTACTTCTTAGAAATGTCGCAAATTATTTCAAGGATCAAAAGCTACCTACAAGTCGTCTTGCTACTGTCATGTTTCATGGGACACCCGGTTCTTAAAAAATCGCTTTATATTAAAAACGTTAAACTATATCATTCACAGAAAAATCAAATTATCTTGTATTTACGAAGCCATCTATGTGGAAAAATGTGTACTCAAATTCAAATTCAAATTAAATCCAAAGAAATATTCTATGTGCAGCAAATCCTAATAACTTGTGAAAATCTGCGAAAGATATAATTCAGTATATAGAATCTATTTTAATTTGATGCGGATATCCGAATCCGGATCCAAAACCGGTTTCTACTGATCCGGATCAAGGTCGTAAACATTTCTTTAAGATAGACTGATTTCTGATTTCACAAATAAAAATCGTTCAATATTATTTTCAAATTTTGGCTTAATTAACCAAAATAAACCGTGGCTTTGCTTGAAATGGATTGTTTCAAAAAATGATTTAAGTTTTTTAGAACAAATTTGCAATTTTATTAGTAAATTCGAGTAACACATGTTTAGTTAGATATGCTTATACAAAATCAAATTTGCATTGTTCTGCATTGCGCTCTACTATGTGCTTTTGCAACTTGTGAATGTAAATTACTTTTAGATTTGGTCTGTCATGAGATTTTTTCCAAATTTTGATATTGTGACAAAATAATTTTAATTTTGAAATATTGTCTATCAAAGGGACTGTAATCTTAATTTCAGTAATCCTCCATGCAAAGATGGTACAACCCTTTAAAAACTCTACTACTTTTAAAAGCTCTGATTAAGTTTGAATTAAAAATAATTTTATAATTTGGAAAACAAATTATTTTCAATTGTGCATTTCTGCTGCAGGAAAACATATAGGAATTATCAGAATTAAACACTTTTCAACCTAGAAAAACAATATTATCTTCCACATGTGAATCGGGTATTATACCATCTTACAGTCGCTTAAGAAAAATGTTGTAACATAAAAGTTTTGTATTTAAAGTGAAAAAGCAATAACTATAGAATAGTAGCGATATTAGATATTATTTAGATATATTTATAAGACTTCAGATTTTTTTTACTTAGTGAAAATAAATTGTAAATATTTTCTGTGATATTCTAGGAGTCTGGGAGTCTAGGAGTCTAGGAGTCTAGGAGTCTAGGAGAAGATTTATTCAGGAGCTTTAAATTTTAGATTTCAGATAAATATAAAATGGATTTAAAATCATGTTTTCCATGGATCTTGATTCAAAGCCTTATTTTGTCATGCCTTTTCAGACCAGGTCGGATTTAAAATGGATTTCAAAGTGGATTTAAAATGGATTTAAAATGAACTTTAAAGCGTATTTAAAATGAATTTTAAAGTGAATTTTAAATGGATTTGAAATGGAATGGAAATGGATTTTTTTAGTGGATTTAAAATGGATTTTGAAAAAGATTTTAAATGGATTTTAAAGTAGATTTTAAATGGTTTTTAAACGGGATTTAAAGGGAGTGTTCGCGAAAAATGAAAGGGGGGTATAGGTTCACGGCGAAAAATAAGCGCTTTTGATCTTACTTCAATCTGTTGCGTCTATAAGGAGAAAATTGCTAAAAACGATTTGTACCGAAGAACGTAGCGCCTATACAAATTCAGAAAGTTGCAACATTCAACTCAGATCGTAAAATAATCAATTTGATTCCAAACAAATCATTCAGATATTACAAACAATAGTCATCGCTAGATTTTCGAACATTCCTGTAAAATATGAAAATGTCGTCTTCATTATAAAAAAATCCTTGAAAGAGGAATACATGTTTTCAAAAGTAACGATCAGATTATGAAAAATAAAAATTAATTTGCAATATCAACTATATACGAATGCGTCGAAAAATAATCGATGACTAAAGTGTTTGTAATATCTGAATGATTTGTTTGGAATTAAATTGATTTGTTTACGCTCCGAGTTGAATGTTGCATCTTTCTGAATTTGTATGGATGCTACATTCTTCGGTATAAGTAGCAATCCAAAGTTGTTATTTTTCGCCGTAAGCTTACACCCCCTTTCATTTTTCGCGAACACTCTTTTTAAAATGGATTTAAAAGTATATTTAAAATGGATATTAATGTGAATTTAAAAATCATTTTATTCATATCAGGCCTTTTTCGAGCAGATAGGATTTACAACATTGTACGTCCAATCACGCTCAAAATGATGGAACATGTCCATTCACGAAATATTTCTTAAATTCAATTTGACAGAACCCCTTTGTACAGGGTGTCCCACGAATTTAATTATTTCTGATATTCAACCTATTTTCACATGTTTGATTCTTGAAACAATAACCACAAAATTCTCCTTTTTTTCATGGGAGATATTAAGAATTTCGTTGAGATTTCAATTTTATCAAATAAAACTAAAATTGTCGAAATCTTAAGGAAATTCTTCATATCTCCGGTAATATTAAAACCACAAAAAAGCCAGACCACATTTTGGTAATGCCAAGGTTAGAGTTATTTTGTGATTCAATTTTTTTTAATTTTACTTCCAAAAAAGGATTACTAATAAATGTCGCAAATTATTCAAGTCGTCTTAAAAGATCGCTTTATATTAAAAACATTAAATTATATCATTCACAGAAAAATCAAATTATCTTGTATTTACGAATTGTTCGTAAATTATTTCAGGCCGATGTTTAACCTGCTATGTGGGTCTAGGAAATACAAGTGAACGAGATAGGCAGCCTTCCATTGTATGCAGACAGGTAAAAAAAGGCGTAACTTGAGGGGGTGGGTCAATGTCCTTTGACCCCCTCCCCCAAAAAAATGCATTTTTACCTAAAAATTATCTAAGGGAGCGCTGCCTCCTGTTTGGGATTGCTGGGGGTGCCCCCCCCCCTTAAATGCANTTTTGATATTATTTTAAACAGCTTCATTTGTTCTTTTTAAAAAATAGAAGAAATTTGAACACAAAATTTTCATTGGAAAATAAGAGATTTGATTCTTCAAAATTTGGATGTTAAAGTGCCTTTTTAAGGCACAAATTGTAAAGCGTGTCCCACGAAAAATGACAGTTGAGAAACGACTTCAAGACCATCTTTGCTCTTTGAAATAATTTTCGGCATTTATTCATGTCCTAATATTTCAAAAGTGTGGTCTGTCTTATTTGTGCTGTTAGGGATATAAAGAATTTCGTTATAGACAATTATGGCATTATTTAGCAAATTGAAATCTGAACGAAATCATTTATATAACCGACTATTTTGAAAGCACAATATTGCAGGATACATTTTGAAAATGCAAATATTATAGGATTCTGAATCTGAACTGTCATGTTTCGTGGGACACCCTGTATGATAATGTAATAAAGATTAAGATTTTTGGTTTTTAGGATAAATATCATGTATGTGCTAAAATGTCTGGAGGAGGGATGGGAGATCAAATTAAAAGATTTTGTGAACTTCTTTCCCCGGAGGTAAAATGTCAAATTCTATAGGCTCAATTATTGCACTGCAAGGAATATACATAGATACAGACAAATCGTATGATGCAAAATTGGTAATTTATAGAATAATCAATTTTTTAAATCAAAAAGAGGTGACGCTTAAATTAAAGATTACAACAAGACAAACTAAATTTGCTCCAGTGTTTTTTCTTTAAATATTTTACTTCTGTGTAAGAAACTTTTTAAGTTTTCGAATAAAATTCATTCTGTATTGTTGAGTCTCGGTACTATATGGCAAATCTGGGAGGCTCATTGTGGCTGGGGTGTCTCTCATTCTCTCACGTATATAACTATGAAGCTAGAATACTAGAATATATGTACTGTGTATACACTGTGCGTTGTACACTGTACAGGAGTATGCGAGTGTACAGGACTATGCTAGAATACTAGAATATATGTACAGTATTGTTCAATGTACGGGAGTATGAGGCTAGAAAACTATAATATTTGTACACTGTACACTGTACAGGAGTATGAGAGTGTACAAGACTATGAGGCTAGAATACTAGAATATATGTACACTGTACACTGTACAAGAGTATGAGAGTGTACAAGATTATGAGGCTAGAATACTAGAATATATGTACACTGTACACTGTACAGGAGTATGAGAGTGTACAGGACTATGAGGCTAGAATACTAGAATATATGTACACTGTACACTGTACAGGAGTATGAGAGTGTACAGGACTATGAAGCTAGAATACTAGAATATATGTACAGTACTGTACAGGAGTATGAGAGTGTACAGGACTATGAGGCTAGAATACTAGAATATATGTACAGTACTGTACACTGTACAGGAGTATGAGAGTGTACAGGACTATGAGGCTAGAATACTAGAAGGAGAGATATTTGACTCTGATCCAAACTGCTTCCTAACTAAAGACAAGGGACGAAGAGTTTTCATTTGCAGGTAAATATTTTGAAACAAATATTTTAAAACAAATATTTTAAAACTAAACTTAATAAACTAAATTTTTCGCGGATTTTTCTATTTAAATTAGTGAACTTTCAAAAATCATAAAATAAAAAATTTTTTCCTGGCAAAATTTTTAAATCTTAACAATGCATAAACAATTCCTTGGATTATGTGTGTTGCCACAAAAAAATGTCCGTTTTTCAGTCAGACAAGCTAAATAGATTGCAAAACTTGAGTGAAACAAAATTTAATTAACAAAATCGGTTCGTAACGTTCAGTTCTATCATCATTTTAAGTTAAAAAAAAACAGATATCTATTGAAAATACTGTAATTTAATAATTAAACATGATTCTTAAAAACTAATCTATCTAGGTGTTCAACCGACAGATATATATTAAAAATTCTGTAATTTAATAATTAAACATAATTCTTAAAAACTAAACTATCTAGGTGTTCAACCGACAGATGTAATACTAGCCAAAGTTTAGGAAATTTTTACTTGACCATTTTTATCTTATTTTAAATAAATATTTTAATTTCATTGTCAATGAAAATCTGCAGAAATTTCATTATGGTGGGAAAGTGTCGCAGAAAAAAAGCATCTTGGTCAAAAAACTTGGAAATGAAAAGATCAGGAAAAAGGTGTTTTTTCCAGTCCCGAGAAATAAATGGAACGGACAAAAGATCCTTCTTTTATTTTCGGGACTTTTCTTCCAGAGAACTTTTTTGTAGCAAGTTTTAGGACTTTCCAACAATTAAAAAAAAAAAAATTTCATTTGTAAATCTTAAGTTTGATATCTTAAAAGAACATGAAAATGTTGATGTTTAAAGTTAAAATATTCTGAAGATGGTTTGCCTCTACAACTAGTGCTAGCTGTATCCTCTGCATTCTTCATCTTCCGCTGAAATCCACTAAATATTGTTCCCTCTACAACTAGTGCTATAGCGGTAGCTGCTTCCACTAGCTTCTTCATCTTCCGCTGAAATCCACTAAATATTGTTTCCTTTACAATTAGTTCATAGTGGTAGCCGCTTCCACTAGCATCTTCCGCTGAAATCCGTTAAACATTTGTTAAAATATAATAATTTCAAGCGAGCCTCTATTTAAAGAGTACTATGCCCGATTAAAAAAAATGTCTTTTAATTGTTTTGACATGTTTACGGGCAATTTGTCTTTAAAGAGAAGCCGCAACTGAAATAATTCATATTGAGAACAAAGAACAAGGAGAACTCCATCATCGTGCTCAAACAAAGGTTTAAATGGTACCGTTGTGAATCGGACATGCCACTCTGTAGCTTGCCGGTACAATACTGAAGATTTGTTTTGTTTTGTACCAATTGAATAAAGTATCCAATGGTATATGAACTGATTTATCAAACAAATTTAATGTTTAGGAAAAAAGACAGAATAGTTCTGTTCAGTCGTCTCATCTTTTGTGGGTAACCTGCCTACTGTTATAATATATACTAGATATTGCCCTAATAATGTGATAACAAACCATCAGATGGAAAACTGATTTATTAATGATTAAAATTATTCAGCCCC